AGGGTTTCTTCATTTTTCTTCATTCTTTTTTCTGATTTTTCCTTGGAGTTGTAGCCAAGTGTTTTTCTTCAGTTTCAGTGATCCTGTCTTCCATCATTTCAAACATTCTCCTCAGCCCTTCTATGACACTGTCCATTTCTGAAATCTTGTTATTTATCTTTTGGCTTTCTAATTGTTTTTTTGGTACTATTTATAGTTATGAATTTATTTTAGCATTTTGTTCATGTGTTATTTTGTTGAATTCTTCCATTTGTTTTTGTCTGCCTTTTCCATGAATTTGTCTATTTTTTTTTTCTGCTTTTTGCTTCAACCCTTGGATAATTCTGAGTATTAGAGATTTGAATTCCCTATGAATTAGTTCTAGTGCCTTTTCTTCTACTGGAAAGTCATCTGGTATTTTATTTTGAACACGAACTGGAACCATGGTGTCCTGTTTTTTAAAATGTTTTGATATTGTCTGCTGTCTTTGGGTATTCAGTAGTTATTTTTCTCGTTTATTGATTGTAGATTTGTTTGTTTCTTCCTTTTTTTTTTTTATTTTGCTATGTCTGAACAGGTAGGCTGTATGTTCTTTGTTGTTTGCTCGACTCTGGGTATGATACTTTTCGCCTCTTTCTCCATTTGGCAGGGTCAGTCGCTCAGATATGGTAGAGCTGGGCAGGTCTAGCTAAAGAGGAGTTGTTGGGATGGGTTGTTTGGGGCATTTGCTGCAGCCACCAAGGCAGGTCGGTAATAAGTGCAGGGCAGGTTCCAGTGGGCCGTGCCTGTGCTGCTTGGTGGTGTGATGTTAAGCGTACAGTGCAGGTAGGCAGTATGGAGGGGGGCGATTGTTATGTGTGGAGCTAAGATGGGTATGGGAGAGAGGAGAGAGGAACAGGAGCCAAAAACGTACAAAGAAATAAAAAAGAATGCTAGGGGAGCTTGCTGTTGGAATGGAGAGATGAGAGACTACAAAATGGAGAAAATCAAAGGGGAAGAAGAAGGAAGAAAATAATGAATAAATAAAAATTAGAGAAAAGAACAGCAAAGTTCCCAGGGATCCCACCAGTGCGGCTACGAGGTCTGGGGAAGTTATTCCCTGATGTTGATGTACAGCCTGGCAAGAAGGCGTAGAGGTGTCATTTTTTGCCAGGTATTCAGGGGACAGGAAGAGAAGGAAGATATAGAGAGATGAGAAACTGAGTAATGAAGAAGGGCGAAAAGAGAAAGAGATGGAAAAGAAAACAAAACAAATTAAACAAGAACAAGAACCCCCCCCCCCCAAAACATGGAAAAAAATAACTCACTTAAAAACAAATGCTCTGAGGGATCTTTCTACGCATGTGTGCAAGCTGAGGCTGTAGGTCCCAAGCCATGCAGCACTGCCCGGCCAGAATGGGCTCCCAACTTGAGAAAAGAGAAAGAAAACAAGAAAGAAAAAAAAAAGCCCTGGTATCCCACCAGCGTGGCAGCACAGACCAGGAAGAAATTCTACACTCGAGCAGAGTTTCACAGGCCCACAGGAAGAAGCAGAGATGGCTCATGGAGCCCAGTATTTGAGTGAACGGAGGGGGATGTGTTGAGAGGTAAGGAAGAAATCAAAAGAAGCGGAAAAAAGCAACACCAGCAGCCAACAAATGGCACTCAGGGAGTCGGCCAGTGTGGGCAGGTAGAATCCAAGCATCTGGTGCTTCCCAGCCAAGAGACTGTCCACGGGAAGCAGAGGAGGCTAACTTGGGGGTGAAGAAGGCTGGGAGGTGGGAAAGTGTATATTGCTGTTTATTGGTTGTTGTGTCTCCTGCTGGAAGCTCCGTGAAGCTGCTTTCTCGTATCCCCTGTTCGCTGGTCTCTGATAGGAGTCCAAGATGGCAGATCCGTGCTGCATTAGCTGATAGGGGACCTCTGCATGTATGTCTCCTCGCTCTCTGTTCTCTGTCAGTTTCTTATTCCATTTTGTGCTTGGCTGAATTCTTTATCTTTTCATTTGATATTTAGGTTTTCAGGATTGCTGTTTTCTTTGTTTGGCTTAGTTTTTCAGATCTTTGCTGTGGAGTCATGGCATGGTGCTTCTGCCTAGAGCACCATGTTGCTGGAAGTCCGCAGATTTTTTGTTTTTAAATTGTGCTTTAGATGAAGGTTTACAGAGCAAATGAGTTCTCATTAAACAATTAATCCGTATATTATTTTGTGACATTTTTTGCCATCCCTGTGACTTGTCAACACTCTCCACTTCTCCACCTTGTGTTCCCCATTTCCATTTGTCCAGCTTTCCTGTCCCCTCTTGCCTTCTCGTCTTTGCCCCTGGGCTGGTATGCCCATTTAGTCTGTATGCATGATTGAACTACGTGTGTTGTTGTTTGTTTTATAGGCCTGTATAATCTTTGGCTGAAGGGTGACTTACAGTCTCACTAGACTTACTGGTCTGACAGAGACTGCAGAAGCCATGTATAATCTTAATTGTGACTCTTCACGGTAAATAGTTTTCTTTCAATTTCTTGGTTAGTCCTGCCTTTCTGTATGTGAGACCTCTCTGTACCAGAAAGCAAAGAGAGAGCTTGTCCCTTTACTTGTCCTCTCATGTATTAACAAGTATGTTTCCTTGGCCTGGGTTCTGCATTTGCTTTCCTGTCTTTGCCGTCACTGCCTCTGTGCACACCTGTGTGTCTCTCACCTGACTCGTGCCGTCTTGTTTCTGGACTCCACCTCCAACCCCCTGTGAAGGAGAGCCTTCTAGGCTTGCCAAATTTCTCTTCCCTGCCCATGGCTTTAGACGTTGCTCCTCCAAAGCTAGCCCCAAAGAAAAGGAACATCCAGTCGTTTTTCGTTCCTCATTATGTCTTCTTTTTGCTCACTTGTGCACACCTCTTCCCGTCACTGTTGTATTTACTTGTACACCGTCTTCTTGGTCGTTCTACTCACACCTCTGAGAGCAGCTTGTCCAGCACTGTCCTTTTCTCCTTGACTGATACTCAGAGGTGAGGTGATGCGTCTAACCAACAAATCCCGTCACCCTGCAGTCCTAGATAGTTACCTTCTTGCCTGCACATGATGGCAGTTCTAATCAGATTGATGTGAGAAAGGCAGCCAAGTGTCAGAATGACTCCTGACCAGCTCACACCTTCTCTGACTTTCATTAGAGACCGAGCCTTATTTGTACATGACCCTGGGGGACTGAAAGGCTCAAATACTTGCTGTGTTGGAAGCCTTTCTTGGCCCTTGAGTGGAGAGGATGGACCAGAGGAGGTGATGTATTCACAGAAAACTTTTTTTTCCCAGCAGTGGGAAATACACAAGGGAACAATACATGAGTAAAGATGGTGTTTTCTAATGATTAACATGGAATCATGCCTGTAACTCTTTTCATATGTCTGTTTAGAATCAAGCTTAAGCAATTAGTATAAAGTCTTATTGGATAGGATTTTGTGCGTTTAACTTATCATCATGTTTTTAAAATACCTTCAGAATCAGAAAAAAAGTTAAGATGTACTTATTAGGGAAGAAATTAGAAAAAATCTCATAATCCAATCATGTATACAGTCGAATTTTTATTTTGTTTCTAGTGTTTGTTTTGGTAAGCATATTACTTTAATAGGGACATGAGGCTTTTGATACACTAGACATGTAACAAGGAGCCCTGGTGGCACAGTGGTCAAGCACTTGGCTGCTAACTGAAAGGTCAGCAGTTTGAACCTACTACCAGCTGCTCCATGGGAGAAAGATGTGGCAGTCTGCTTCTGTGAAGATTACAGCCTTGGAAACCGTATGGGGCAGTTCTACTCTGTCCTTTAGGGTCACTGTGAGTCAGAATCAACTTAGTGGCAACAACACAGAGACACACACACAACCACACACACAGATACATAACATGTAGGCATCTAAAACCTTTTATTTTTCTTCTTCTGAGTCATTCTGTTGAGTGTATGTTAGAACCTCATGGATTCCTACTCTCATTTCTGGACCAACCTTCTGAAAAAGAGTTCATCAAAAATGAGTTGATCTTTGCACTTCACAAAATGTGCAACCTAAGGTTCAGTAAGCCCCTGAGTGGTGCAGACAGTTTAGTGCTTGACTACTAGCCAAAAGTTTGCTGGTTCCAGCCTGCTCAGAACTGCCTGGGAAGAAAGGCCTGGTGATCTCTTTCCAAAAGGTCATAGCCTTAAAAACCCTATGGAGCAGTTCTACTCTTCACACGAGTCGGGATCAACTCGATGGCAACTAACAACAGCAGGGTTCACTAGGCAGAGGACTCCCTGGACTAGGGGATGTGCTTCTGTGAGGTTGCTGAAGGAGCCATTTACCTGCTGAAAGGACCTCACACAGATAGGAGATGGGTTTTTCAAGCCATAAGGTCTTAGTGTGAGCCTTCACCACCCCCACCTGCAGATAATGTCTCTGTTTATAGGGTCAGCGTGGTGGAGGGAAGAGAAAGAACAAGTATTTAGACCTTGAAGACGTGAGCTCTTTTTTTTTTAATTGTAAAAACATAGATAACACAACATTTGTTATGTGTACAGTTCAGCGGCACTAGTTATGTCAAGCATGTTATGCAACCATCACCAGTATCTGTTGCCAAATTTTTCGTCACCATAAACAGAAACTCAGTGCTTTCTAAACAATGAGCTATTTTAAATTTTTTATTTTAAAATTTTGAGTTATCCGATTTTTCTTCAGTAGATTTCATGTGAGTTGCACAGACCAAGTTTACAGGTCAAGGTTAGAAGATTTATTGCTGCTGAAGTTAACAGCAAGTTGACCATAAATTGCTACCAGATGTTTTTTCTTTTTAGCCCCTCCCTAGGAATTTTAAAGGCAACTTTTTTTTTTTCCTTTTCTTTTCGCAGAGATGGAGGGAGGAGGTATAGAAAAAGAGGGAAATGAAAACAAACTAGAGACTGAGAAACACATGTCTCAGCTTTCACCAGTGCTGGCAAGTTCTGATTTTAGATGGAGTTGATCTTCAAAAGTTAAAAATAGGTTTTTAGTTATTTTAAACCACTAAAAGTTTTTTTTTTCCTCTTTAGCAAGAAGATCCTTATAGGAAGAAGAAGCTTCAGGAGAAAAAGGAAGGAAATTTACAAAATTTAAATTGGAATAAAAATCGAACATGTAGAAAAAACAAGAAAAGGGGCGTTACTCAGGTCTCAAGGTGTGTAATGTTTATAATCCCTTTAAAATTTGATCTGGTTTTCACTTTCTAATTTTGCAGTTAACTCTTTTAATCTTATTTCTGTTGTGTTGGTGTACAGACAGTATGAGATTGTAGACCTTTGTATTTTGAGATGAAAGTATATTCTTAAAATGAACACCTTTTCTTACTGTGTTTTTAATTTAGTTTGTTAAATACCTTAGTGTGAAGATTTTTGGTTTTGTTTTGTTTTGTTTTGGTCTTTCCTTGATAAAATGCTAAAAGCATAAGGCAGCCCTCCATTCAAAGACTTACTTTGCCAGTGAAATGCAAGTGTGTCTGTGGTTTGTTTCGTTGGCTGTGGGAGCGGGTGCTGAGGAAAACGCCCGGGCACGGGCAGGCCTTCTATTCCTAGCTCGACCACTGACCTGTCTGGGCAGTCTGGGGCAATAGCAATGAGGCAGAATAGCCACCATTCATGTAACCCGCAGCTTAGCACTGTGGAAGATGGGTTCTTACAGCTGCAGAAATTGAGCCTCCCAAATAGTAATGATTTGCTTAAAGCCACAGAGATTGCGAGGGGCAGAGCCACAGTGGGAACCAGGTAGTTGATACTCTCCTTTGGACTGGAGACACTTAATGTCTCTGAGCTTCCATTTTCTTCTCTGTAAAATGAAGGAGCTTGCCAGTGTTTGTGTGGGAGTCCCTTATTGCCAGGGTTAGAGAAGCATCCCTCTAAATCAGATTTTATGTAAATTTATCACTTGGGGGTTTTTCTGAGCAGGTCAGTAGCATGTACATTCTGACTGCAAATCAACCCAAGTGGTATCATCTCTTGAGTTTCAGTTTCTTATGTCACACTTGCAATACCCCCCAGCACCCACTTGCAGAGCCTTCAGCAGAGATGCACTCCCCTACTTCTTCCTCCCTGGGCTGGTGGCAGGGCTTTCCAGGTCCCCCTTGCCACCTTCCAGAGCCCCCTTTATGTGGGAGACTCATTTCCAGCCCTTGACTCCTGTATGTGGCTGCCCTTGAGTAGGCATTAAAAGCCCACCCCGGGGCATTAAAGCTTGTTTCTCCTGCAGGAACGCTTCTGTCCCCACCACTCTGGCTTTTTCTGCCTTTGAGCTCTGGCATCTGGGGGATTCTCTTATGAGCTCAGTTAGGCATTTAAGTTTGTTTCTGGTGAATTTTTCCCTAGCAGTTTCAGTTTTGTGTGGGGAAAGGTTCCACCTTGCTGCAGTTTCCCATGCGGTTGGAAGGGAGCTGTAGCCAAGCAGCCCTCGCTGGCAAGGGCCGCCTGCCTGAGAAGTACAGATGTGCCTGTGTACAGTGTGTGTCCTCGGCCCCTGAGTGGCAGCCCTGAGCTTGGGGCCTGTGGTCCAGCATTATGAGGAGCGCCAGCATTTCTCGCATGCGCTCTACCAGAGCCCTGTTAGGCAGCTCCAAGGTTTCTTCTCGTTCCAGTTCTCTACCCAGCTCACAGTAAAAAAGTCAAACTGTTGTATTCTTTTGCATATGTTTTCATTAAAATTTGATTAACTGTGAGATCACTTTAAAGGAGTATAATTTCCTGATACGTGCATATAGAAAGAAAAATAAAGTGGACCAATTAAATGTCACAATGTATTTTTAAAAGCAGATTTCTGACATGCCTCTGACATGCTGAAGAAATAATAAAGTTGTTAAAAAATAACTTTATAGTGGCTTGCAGCTTATAATGTTTTGAGAACATGATGCTTAACATGTGGGTTGTTGGTGTTGGATTGTCTCTTCACCTGGCTTGTATTTCTCTTATACCCTTTTTACCTTGACCACAAGCTGGTACAGTCATCTGGCACATCTTAATATATTTGATCTTCTTACCCGCCATCCTACAAATCTAACATTAGGTACTGAAATTGGACCGTGTGAAATAATCATCTAGTGATTCTCTACACATTTCTGTATTGCCACTTACAAAATTTTATTAATGTTCTTCCCACAAGGAGTTCAGTCTAATAAAACCAAAAAACAAACCCGTTGCCATCCAGTTGATTCCAACTCATAGCCACCTATAGGACAGAATAGAACTGCCCCATCGGGTTTCCAAGGAGCTGCTGGTGGATTCGAACTGCCAACCTTTTGTTTAGTAGCTGATCTCTTAACCACTGCACCACCAGGGCTCCTCAGTCTAGTAAGAGGTATTATTATTTGACTGTCAACTTCGTGGGGGACGAACTTTATTCTTCTTCTTTGTAGGCCCTGCACCTTTTGTAACAATATGTGGCACATGTAGTCACTCAACAAATATTTGTGAAAGGAATGAATGAGAATATTTAAATTAATACGGAATACCTTCTCCCAGACAACAAAGAGCAAGTTCATCTATTGAAAATCATATTTTACATTGAAAAAGAAAAGAAAAACAACTCAAGATTCCTGGGTTCTGGTCCTGGGCCTCCTGTCACTTACCAGTTGGCCTTGAGTGACTTATGGAACCTTGTGGAGCCCTGCTTCTCTCACTGTAAAATAAGAACATAGATTAAATGAGCTCTAACTTAATTCTAGTTCTAAAACAGCAAAATCTTTTTTTTATTAATATCCTCCCTTACTCATCATATCCTACCACCAGACTCAAAAAGAAGGCACCCCAAGTTGTCCCATATCCATTTTTTTCACCTCTAATAAGTCTCATGGAAAAGAAGTATGTATGCATGCATGATAAAATATGGCTGTGCTTTCTTTGTGGCTGTTCCAGGCCTTCTGAACAGAGTGAATTAAAGCTTGTGTGCAGTGAATTCGGAAGGCCTGAGCTGAGCAGTGACATGGATGTAAGAAACTGGTGTATACAGGAAAACACTGGGGAGGTTTGTAAAACAGACGCTGAAATTGGAAGCTTACCTGCTGCACAGGGAGAGGCAGGTATGTAATTACAGGGAGCTGTGAATGGTGCCTCTGTTAAGTTTTTGTTTCCTCAGGGAAGTATTCAGTGAGAAAAATGGAGTTTTAATGAGATTATCACTTTACAGGCAACTTAGCTTACTGAAGTGTGAATGGAAGGCTGTCAGGATGAGACCAGAAAGCTAAGATTCTTTTGAGCCTGGGCAGGCCTCTAGCATCACACCCTGTTGTTGTTAGTTGCTGAGTTGGCTTTGACACATGGCGACCTTATGTATAGCAGAATGAAATGTTGCCTGGTCCTGCACCATCTTCGTGATCATTGCTGTTTGAGTCTGCTGTTTTGGCCACTGTATCAGTCCATCTCACCAAGGACCTCCCTCGCCTTTGCCAACCCTCCACTTTACCACCATGATGTCCTTTTCTGGCAATTGGTCTTTCCTGATGATGTGTTCAAAGTTAGCGAGCTGAAGTTTTGCCATCCTTGCTTCTCAGGAACATTCTGGTTATATTTCTTCTAAGACTGATTTGTTCTTTCTTCTGGCAGTCCGCAGTATATTCAGTATTCTTTGCCAGCACCACAATTCAAATGCATCAATTCTTCTTCTGTCTTCCGTTTTCATTGTCAGCTTTTGCATGCATATGAGGTGACTGAAAAGGTCATGGTAGCACCCCTGCCTCCCCTAAAATCTGCCATTCCTGATAATCCTTACGCATATTGCTGCCAGGAGCAAGGGCTGCTTGCTCTAGATAGGTGAAAGGGGAGTAGGGGAATAGCCAGGTGAGAAGAGTAGCAGCCCCACACCTGAGTGAGATAATTCCTGCAGAACCAGATGCTGCCCGGCCCAGGGGCTGCTAGGCAGTGTCCCTGGGAAAGGAACGTAAAGGAGTGCTGAATGGTAGGTCCAGGATAGGGCAGAGGATAGCGGGAGGCAAAAGGACCACTGAAGTTGGCAGTACTTGTGGGATTGCGGGGAGGTCATGATCCTCCCAATACTCCCTTTCCCCAGCCACCCCCCTCCCAAAATTCATGCTGCAGTTAACTGGTTTCTATCTCCATCCTCTCTTTGTCATTCCCTTGACACGTGTTGCTGTTTGGTCTTACTGGAGGCTCTATCCACCCACACATAAACATTTTGAAACTCTCAGTGGACATCTTAGTAAAAGACAGAGGAAAATTGCCCTCAAACCTCCGGTCCTGCAGAGTAGCTTTAGTTTGATAAGTGTTTACCATTTCCAGAACTATTTTTAAAATGAGATTATAATTAGTATTGACTGTCTTAACCCCAGAGCCCTGGTGGCGCAGTGGTTAAGAGCTCAGGCTGCTAACCAAAAGGTCAGCAGTTCAAATCTACCAGCTGTTCCTTGGAAATCCTATGAGGCAGTTCTACTCCGTCCTGTAGGGTTGCTATGGGTCAGAATCAACTTGAAGGCAATGGTTTGGTTTGGTGTTTTGGTTTATCTTAACCCCAAACACATTTAATTGCCCATCCCATAGGCAGAGTAGGCATATGCTTACCACCCCCCGCAATAGTGCTACTATTAATGGGCAGAGATGGGAGACCCTGAAGGTGGACCTCACCTTCTTCATAATTTCACCTCTCTCCTTTTATTAGAAATGCGTAGAGTTGAAAATTACGTAAGTGACCCATGCCTTCTCTTCATGGAGTCAGCTTTCCTTTCTTACTTCCCCCAGAGGATTACTACCGGAAGCCTGAGAAGAAATGCGTGGAAAAGTTCTGCTCGGATTCTAGCTCAGACTGTGGCAGCTCTTCAGGGAGCGTGCGTGCCAGCCGGGGCAGCTGGGGGAGCTGGAGCAGCACCAGCAGCTTGGACGGGGACAAGAAGCCCGCGGTGGGCCCTCAGCACTTCCTTCCCACGAGTGAGTAGTGAGCATGAACCCAGGGGCTCCATACCACCCTGCCTTTCCACTCTCCCTCTTATACCAGTATAAGGTCTAGATCTGCCTTCCAGCACTCGGAGAGGCTCCTCTTGGCCCCCGCAGGACAGGCCCCTCTCGGCCCCCTCAGGATATGCCCCTGTCCATAATGTAATATTAATCCAGATTAGTAAATTTAAATGTTGAGTTTTATTAAGTTTTCAATGGAAAGATAAATTATAAAAGGACTTTTAAAAATTAAATTACCGATTGTGCAAATGCCAGTTTAACATGAGAAATAAATTCCCCATTACAGGTTAATGATATTAATAATCTCTGCATTTTAGTACAGAATATACAGAGTTGAAATGCACTTGTAAAAACTTGTGATAATATGTTTTTAATGCAGGTGATAGTGTTTCACAAAATGATTTTCCTTCTGAATCTCCCATCTCCTTCAGTCTTTCTCACAACATCTGCAATCCCATGTAAGTTTTTAATTTTGCACTTTTACGATAGCTTTATGTACTGTTTCTTCTGTCAGTCATTGTGTTTTTTTCTTTGTACTTGGTTCTGCAGGGTAAAAAAATGAAAATTTTTTGTTTTTAAGGATGCAAGAAAGTGAATCTACTCTTACTAACATAGATCAGAAACAGTGATCCTTCCAAAGAGACTCAGTTCATGTGCAAGTGCCTCTTCTGTCATACACTGTCTTTTCAGGGATAGAGTTATGTTAGAAAATACCTAATTTCTGAAAGAAGAAACTAGCTATTATAAGGGTGGGAATAACCTGCTCTTTGCTAGGAGTTGGGATAAAATTGAGCTTTGGTGATACAGAACATTTTCCGAGAACCTTGTAGATACTCACATACTTACAGTTCCACTATGTGATGTTTTCTGCATCATGAGACAAATAAACAAGTACTTCTTATTGAGTGGGAGAAGAGTTGGGTCAGCAGGAAGGAGAGAGCATCAGAGTGAGAAATGTAAAGACGTTTCTTAGATGCCTGCCACGTTGTTGTGAGAGGCCAGGAAGATACAATTTCATTGGTGAGTTTGTGAAGAAGGAAACAGCTAGTGTATAGTGAAAGCTCTCTATGAACTGTTTTTGTTAGGGGCAAGAAAGTGACTAGGGATTACCAATTGCTGCTAACTGGTGGCAGGCAGATTTGAAACTGCACATTGCCTTAGTTAAAGTTTTTTTTTAATTTAGACTTTTCTAGATCTCGGAAATTGAATATTCTGCAACTCCTTTCTGGCTGTGTTCCTTATGTGTCCAATATGTTCTTGGTGGTAGAATTAATGTAAAAACTCAATCAGACTTAGTTTATGCAATTTGACTATTTCCTTGCACAGAGAAAAAAATGGATAGTTACCTCATTTTCTCACTTTCTCAACAGACACGTGAACGCTCTCCCACAATATGCAGAAACTGCCTGTCCCGGCCTCCCTGATGGGCCTGCAGGTGATGAAAATAAAGGTGAGGTGCATTGCTCTCACTACAGACACCAGCCATGAGTTTACCTTGTATGACTGGCTGGTGAGTGTGAGAAAAAAGAATAGATTGGGTGGGCAGGGCCATTCTCCCAGTGCTCTCTTCTGTAAGCCTTGTCACGAGACTTCCATGGATTGCGAGGGCACCTGCCCTTGGTACTGATGTCATCAGGAGTCTTGCTGACCCTTTTGCCTCCAGACTTTGCAGTGGAACTGAGCTCCCTGCTTGTAGCAGAGAGTACTCTGTGGCCCAGGTACAATCCCAGAGCCCTTTTATAGGGGGCTACCACTGCCTTTAGTCCACCTTTCCTAGTCTGCAATGAGAAAGGAAAATGGAGTGGCAGTGGCACAGCCCACGAGAACAGAGGCCAGGTTGGAGAACATGCCAAGGGTAGGAGCATGCCTGCTTCCACATTCCTGGCCGTCTCCTCTTCCTTCCCAAACTCACCTTGTCCTAGAAGCCTGTTAATTCTGCCTCAGCTGCCATGGTGACTAGCCCTGCTCCTGCACCAGGGCTGAAACTCAGAGCTAAGGTCCCTCAGACCTTCTGCCAGATGGGTTAGGACAGTGACCTAGGCTAGGAGTGCAGAAAAGGAGTGGGTCAGAAGGAAACCCCACTCCTGCAGCTCTCTGATGGAAGGTTAACTCTAGTTCTCCCTCGTTTTTCTTCTCCTTTTCTCCTCTTCTTCTCGCTCTCTTTGTCCTCGTCTTTCATCTGCTGTTTTGTCCTAGCTCCTCTCTCCTACCTAACTAGACTCAGGAATTATGGGAGGATAAGCCTGATTTTTACTCTCCATGGCAGCATTTAGCTTGAATACATGTATTTGCTTTTGTGCATATATATTAATGTTAGATTTAAAAACCGCTGAACACTTCAGAGCATTTACTTTGAAAACATAAAGCATTTTTGCTGTTCCGTAGATAAATTTTGGACATGCTTTCAAATTATCAATGGAAATAAACTATTTTCTGTGTTGGATCTATTTACTGTTGTTACTAGGTGCTGTTGAGTCCGTTCCAATTCATAGCGACCCTATGCACAACAGAATGAAACACTGCCTGGTCCTGTGTCATCCTCACAATCCTTGCTATGTTTGAGCCCATTGTTGCAGCCGCTGTGTCAGTCCATCTCATTGAGGGTCATCTTCTTTTTCCCTGACTTCTATTTTACCAAGCACGATGTCTTTCTCCAGGGACTAGTACCTCCTGATAACATGTCCAAAGTACGTGAGACGAAGTCTTGCCATTGTAGCTTCTGAGGAGCATTCTGGTTGTACTTGTTCCAAGATAGAGTTGTTCATTCTTCTTGCAGTCCATGGTATATTCAGTATTCTTCACCAACACCATAATTCAAAAGTATCAATTCTTCTTCAGTCTTCCTTATTCATGTTCAGCTTTTCCACACATGAGGTGATTGAAAATACCATGGATCGGGTCAGGCGCACCTTAGTTCTCAAAGTGACATCTTTGATTTTGAACATTTAAAAGAGGTCTTTTGCAGCAGATTTGGCGAGTGCGATACGTCCTTTAATTTCTTGAGTGCTACTTTTATGGGCATTGATTGTGGATCCAACTAAAATGAAACCCTTGACAACTTCAGCCAGGGCTCCATCTATTTAGTAGTCCAGCAAAATAAGTGTTTTTCAGTAAGAATTCTTAAATTCAGTAATCAATAATTCGCTAAGGCAACATTTTTCTTTGACATAATAGAGAAGAAATACAACTTAGTGAATGGTGGAGAAAAATAAAATATGAAAACATTTCGTTTAACATTTTTTTTGTTTGTTTTTGTTGCTAGTTGGAAAGGGAATTATACGTAATAAGCTAGGGTCCTGGGAGCGCTGGTGGTCCAGTGGTTAAGAGCTCAGCTGCTAACCAAAAGGTTGGCAGTTTGAATCTGTCAGCCACTCCTTGTCCTGTAGGGTCGCTATGAGTTGGAATCGACCCAACGGCAACAGGTTTGGTTTTTTTGGTCTAGTGTCCTGATTTGTGTGTGTGTGTGCTTAAAATGCCTTTTATTTGCCATATCCATATTTTGATTCCCCAGTTTTACGACTGGGGAAGAGCTGTCTCCTCACAGTAGAGTCAGCCTTAATGACGTGGATTGAGTAAAGCTTTTGGGACCCTCAGTTGCTGATGCTGATGTGACAGGACTCAAAATGAGAACAGCTCCAGACATCCATTAATAATCAGAATGTGCAATATACAAAGTATGAATCTAAGAAAATTGAAAGTCATCAAAAATGAAGTAGAACGCATAAAGATCAATATCCTAGGCATTAGTAAGCTGAAATGGACTGGTATTGGCCATTTTGAATCAGACAGTCATATGATCTATACCAGGAATGATTAATTGAAGAGGAACGGTGTTGCATTCATCCCCAAAAGAAACATTTCAAGACCTATCTATAAGTACAGTGCTGTCAGTGATAGAATAATATCCATAAGCCTACAAGGAGGACCAGTAAATATGACTATTACTCAAGTTTACACACCAACCATTAATGCCAAAGATAAAGAAACTGAAGATTTTTACCAACTTCTGCAGTTTGAAATTGATCAAACATGCAGTCAAAATGCATTGATAATTACTGGTGATTGGAATGGAAAAGTTGGAAGCAAAGAAAAAGAATCAGTAGTTGGAAAATATGGACTTATTGACAGAAATGACGCAGAAGATTACATGATAGAATTTTGCAAGACCAATGATTTATCATAGCAAATACCTTCTTTCAACAACAAAAATGATGACTATACACATGGACATCTCCAGAGGGAATACACAGGAATCAAGTAGACGACATCTGTAGAAAGAGACAATGGAGAAGCTCAGTATCATCAGAACGAGGCCAGGGGCCAACTACGGAATAGACCATCTATCTCTCATACACAAGTACAGGTTGAAGCTGAAGAAAAGTAAAATAAGTCCACAAGTGCCAAAGTACAACCTTGAGTATATCCTACGTGTATTCAGAGACCATCTCAAGAATACATTTGACACATAGAACACTAATGACCAAAGACTAGACGAGTTGTAGAATGACATCAAGGACATCATACGTGAAGAAAGCAAGAACTCATTAAAAAGACAGGAAATAAAAGACCAAAATGGATGTCAGAAGAACTGAAACTTTGAAACTTGCTCCTGAGTGTAGGGTAGCTAAAGTGAATAGAAAAAAATGATGAAGTAAAAGAGCTGAATGGAAGATTTCAAAGGGCAGCTTGAGAAAAAAAAGTAAAGTATTATAATGAAGTGTGCAAAGACCTGGAGTTAGAAAACCAAAAGGAAAGAACATGGTCAGCATTTCTCAAACTGAACTGAAGAAAAAACTCAAGCCTCGAGTTGCAATATTGAAGGATTCTATGGGCAAAAATGGTTTAAAGTCAGGAAAAGTGTGCATCAGGGTTGTATCCTTTCACCATACTTATTCGGTCTGTATGCTGAGCAAATAATCTGAGAAACTGCACTATATGAAGTAGAACGAGGCATCAGGATTGGAGGAAAACTCATTAACAGCCTTCATTATGCAGATGACACAACCTTACTTGCTGAAAATGAAGAGGACTTGAAACATTTACTGATGAAAATCAAAGACTACAGCTTTCAGTATGGATTACATCTCAACATAAAGAAAATGAAAATTTTCACAACTGGACTGGTAAGCAACATCATGGTAAACGGAGAAAAGATTGAAGTTGTCAAGGATTTCATTTCACTTGGATCCACAGTCAACACCTATAGAAGCAGCAGTCAAGAATCAAAGGACAAATTTCATTGGGCAAATCCCCTGCAAAAGACTTCTTTAAAGTGTTAGAAAGCAAAGATGTCACCTTGAAGACTAGGTGCACCTAACCCAAGCCAAGGTGTTTTCAGTTGCCTCCTATGCATGCGAAAGCTGGACGATGAAAAAGGAAGACTGAAGAAGAATTGACACCTTTGAATTGTGGTGTTGGCGAAAAATATTGAATATACCATGGACTGCCAAAAGAATGAACAAATCTGTCTTGGAAGAAGTTCAACCAGAATGCTGCTTAGAACCAAGGATGGCAAGACTACATCTCACATACTTTGGACAGGTTATCAGGAGAGATCAGTCCCTGGAGAAGGACATCATGCTTGGTAACGTAGAGGGTCAGCGAAGAAGAGGAAGACTGTCAACGAGATGGATTGACACAGTGGCTGCAACAATGGGCTGAAGCATAGCAACAATTGTGAGGGTGGCGCAGGACCAGGCAGTGTTTCGTTCTGTTGTATATGCGGTCACTATGAGTCGGAACCGACTCCATGGCACCTAACATGGGCAAAATATTGAACAGTGCAGGAAGTATCAAAAGAAGAAGGAATAGACAGAGTCACTGTACCAAAAAAGAATTGGTCGTCGTTCAACCATTTCAGGAGGTAGCACATGATCAAGAACCGATGGTATTGAAGGAAGAAGTCTAAGCTGCACTGAAGGCATTTGTGAAAAACAAGGCTCCAGGAACTGACGAAATACCAGTGAGATATTTCAACAAACTGATGCAACACTGGAAGTGCTCAGTTGTCTATACCAAGAAAATTGAAAGATAGCCACCTGGCCAACTGACTGGAAGAGATCCATACTTGTGCCCATTCCAAAGAAAGGTGATCCAACAGAACGCATAAATTATCAAACAATATCATTAATATCAAACACGAGTAAAATTTGAAGATAATTAAAAAATGGTTGCAGCAGTACATCGACGGGGAACTGCCAGAAATTCAAGCCAGATTCAGAAGAGGACGTGGACTGATGTCAGATGGATCTTGCCTGAAAGCAGAGAATACCAGAAAGACGTTTATCTGGGTTTTATTGACTACTCAAATGCATTAGATGGTGTGAATCATAACAAATTATGAATAACATTGCAAAGAATGGAAATTTCAGAACACTTAATTGTGCTCACGTGGAACCTGTACATAGTCGTTCGAAGAGAAGAAGGGGATACTGCATGGCTTAAAATCAG